CCAAGTAGAGCTGCAGAAAACCATCCTTTCTGTTACAATGTGATAATTTTGTTCTTTTTCATGGTATAGGTCTCTAAATCTTGATGTAGCTAAGGGCAGTATCATTCATTTTTGCATCAAATAGAATATCTACTCATAGTGTCTTTCCCATGAGGTAGCTAGTTGGCTCAGTGGATACAGAGGTGGGCCTAGAGTCAAGAAGACCTGGATTCAAATGTGGATTCAGACACTCATTAGCTGTGTGATTCTGAGCAAGTCACTTAATCTCTGTTTGCCTTAATCCACTGCAGAAGGAAATTGCAAACCACCCCTAGTATCTTTGCCAAGAAAACTCCATGGACAGTATGGTCTATGGGGCCATGAGGACACAATTGACAACACAAGACTTTCACTTAGAAGGGACTTTTTTTTTGGCATGAATGTGTTATTTGTCCTTCATTTCCGAAGAAGACCAATGATGTCATGTAATGGTGGATGTTTTGATTCACGCATAAGTTAGATTTGAGGGAGGCAGTGTTGCAAAAGACTCACTCTTTCTTCCAGAGTCATTGAAATCCAGTGGCAGGACAAAAGTCAAGATGACTGGTGATGGCCCAGACTGCAGTGGATGACTTTGGCATCTTCGATGTCTGACCAAACTCTAAGATCTCCACGATGCCTGCTTCAGTTGCCTTCATGGCTGTTGGAACAAATTGCTGTCATCTGTCCATTTCTGTAGAGGAAGTCTTCACATGCTTGTGGTTGACACCCTGCTAACCCACTGATGGGTTTGAGGCCTGGATTAGTCTGTCTGCCGAGACAATTTACTGGGGCATGGCTGCTGTGCATGTTACAGCTTCTTGGAGCCACAGGTTAGAGTTGAGTGCCAGGTAGGCACCAAAGGTGGATGAGCAGCCCTGAAAAGGGCTTAGCAAGCTCTCACACTCAAGATGCTAGTCCTTCTTGAGCACCTCCCACACAAATGAACAGATATCTAGCAACCCATCATACTTCTCTGGTATATGTTGCAGCATTTAGTACGACATTTTTATGGCATATATTTATGCTCAATAAATTATTGGTTGATTAGCTTATGTTATAACTTGCCTTTCCTATAGTGAGATATTTTCAAGGATCTGATTTTATCAGTGTGAGGTCTGTTCCTTTGGTTGTACAGACTACAATCTCTTCATTGCATTCTTATCTGATTTTCATCCATGTCCTTCCTCTGAAAGACTTCCTTTACTACTCTGAAGGATTTGAAATATCATCAATGTGGATACTCCTTCAATGATCCAACCCATTCATGCCTTCTCAACCTGTGAAGCTTTTGTCCATGCCTTTCTGCATGTTTTTCCAAGGGGGTCCACCCAAAGTGCTGGGGGACTTTCTCTATATCTCTTTCCATGGATGTTGGCAGAGCATGTAAGTTGTCCACTGGTTGTCCCTGACTCTTACCACATGAGTAACCCACGTTCTTTTCTGATAGTTCACTTCTTTGATGACACCCTTTATGTCACTTCTACACAATTCTTGGCAATATGATGCAGCTTAGATGTGCCCACCACATGCCTTCCATTACACTTTCAGTGACCCTCAACTTTAATTCTTTAGAGATTATGACATTCCATGATTTGCAGTCATACAGTGTCATCATACAGACTTTTTTTTCAGGAAGACTCTTAAGGGTCATTAAAATGTCAATAATCATTATGTGAATTTTGTCTGTAGGGGGTTCCCACAACAATGAAGATTTCATACCAACTATAATTTAGTGGATGAATACAAGCCAGTTGCCTGTAGCTCAGAGAACTTAAGTGACTTTCTTTGGATTACACAGTAGATGTCAGAGGAGGAATTTGAACCCAGATTTTCCTAGTTCTAGGTCTAGCACTTAACTACATTTTTGTTTCTCTGCTGTCATTAAAAGGGAGGCAATTTTTCCAGAGACAGACAATCCAGCCTATTCTCCTCCTATTCAGTTGCAGGCACAGTTCATTGCCCATTTGCTGTGTCTGTCCAAGATATATTTATTGACGGGGAAACTGGTGTATCCATCCAGTAATACAGCATAACCTGGAAAATGCCTTCCCCTAATAAAAGAACTAATCAAATGAATTTCTCCAAGCAAAAATGCTATATAAGCACAGAATAATATTGATTTGTTCTCCTTTTTGGTCATTTGTATCACTTTCCTGAAAGCCTTAAATAATTCTGGCTTTTTGGTTTTTTTGGTTGATTGGTACCTTATGTACTTAGGGCAATTCAGATTAAAAACAGGTTGATTCTGAGTAGGATTCTTCAAACACTCTTGTAAAAGCAAACACTGAAAACACACCAGTAACAATCATCTATGAATCACGGTGAGCCTCTAGTGGTGACAGGTATATTTACCAGAACGATAGCAACAGTTTTTTTAAACATAGACTTTAAGTAGTCACACACAAAAAATCAACCAAAGTATAGATTACACTTTAAAAGTTCAAATTCAAAATGTCTATCATGATACTTATAGTTTAATTAGCTTAAACATTAATCATTGGATAAAGAAGTTATGAATACTTATACCTACAGCTTCCCTTATTCCCCCTCATAATTTTTCTTCCTTTTGCACATTTAATTTCTTTTCAATTAAAAAAGATACAATTTAGTTAATATATTCTTATCATGGTGTTCAGATATGACTCACATAGTAATCATAAATTTTCTGACTTGTCAAAATTATACATAGTTAAAATTATAACCTTGAATTTCTTGATTAGTGCCTTGAAAAATGATACTGTATCCTTAAAGGATGCATGTACCTTTTATCATTCCATGTTATATTAGAGATACAGATTTATGCTTTTTATTAAAAGCTGCAACTCTGGAACTTTTTTTCTCTTTTTGAAATTTGTTACAAATAACGAATAGGTGCCACAGAATCTTCCCCGAAGGAACATAACATACACAAAGCCTTGTTATATCAGTTGACTCTGATAAAGCTTTTCTTTTTGTACTACTAAAGCCTAAATTATTTTTGCAGCATTTTTTTCTTCGATAAAAGATTATGGATAGATGCCCAGAAACCCACTCAAAGTATTTTAATCCTGATACTAAAATAATGCAGGACGATCGATCAATATTCATCTGTAGGGGATGACCTCATTTTGGAGTTATGCTGGGGCAATGTTAAAGTTACTGCCGGTATTCAAATTCTCTGTTAGGTAGTTGGGAATAACAGAAAGAACGTGGGACTTGCAATCAGAAGACTGGGGTCAACTTCTAGCTGTGCCACTCAATAGCTGGGTGACCTAGAACAAGTCACTGTACCTCAGGTTTGTAATTGATAAAACTGAGATAATAACAATTTTGCTGCTTATCCCACAGGAATAATGAGAAAAATGTTTTGGAAACCTTAATGTATCACACAAATCACTGTTATTATCACTGTTTTTAAAGGAGTATTTTTTTTTAGAAAACACAACAATCATTGAAACAATATTGCATACAGTTTTAAAGAATCTGTATACATTTGTCACCATTTCCTCCTCCCACTAAAGTAAATTTCACATTTCAGAGGCTGTTGTAGTAGAAAGAAGCTTAAACCAGAGATTAAAGGACCTATGTTCAAGTTCTGTTGATTCCACTTCACTGTATCAAAATTGCTGTATAGTCATATGTAAAAGTAAGGTCCTATTTATTAGGAGATGAAGTTAGCTCCTTCAAGTGTACATACTTTAAATCACAACGTAGTTTCAGAATAATCATCTTCTTGCCCCACATTAGAAAGTCATGTAAATGTCAATTTTTTTTATTCCACTTGATTTTTTGGGGAGGGATGCTGGATTGATAGGGTATATCTTTTCTTTTTTTTTAAGTTTGATAATTTAAAAAAGAACAATTAACATTGTCACTTCCAATAGACCTTCCCCATCAAAAATAATGCTTTAAACAAAGAAGTTTAAAACAAACAAAAACCAAAAACCTGACACATTGACCATGTCTGCCCATTCCACACCTTCGCTCCACCACAGAAGAGGGAGGTATGTTTCATTATCAATAAGAAGTGTTTCTTTTCAACATTAAAGTATAATTTCTTACTGGAAGTCTCTTTGGAGTTGCCAACCCCTTTTACTCTTGGCAAACTTCTTTGAATTCATCATAGCTTGGATCATTTTGGGAGGAGGGGGAAAGAAATAGTAAAAAAATTGAAAAGCCAAAGTCAGATCTTTGTCTCCCAAGTGCTTTTACTCTTAGAAAAGCAGAGGGAGGTCATGCTTCCTTCTCAGGGTACACAACGCTGTGAAATAATAACATGAAAGAAATGGGTTGATCCAGAAGCTCCAGCCACCAGTTCCAGGAGGTCTCATATTGCTTTCAATTTCTTCTCAGCACATGAGTTCGGCTAATGGAGTGGCACAGGGACAGGGCATCCCAGAATTGGTGCCAACCAGCAGAGCTGGCAAACTTACTTTGTTTTTATGCTGTCACAGCTTGCTGCAACTCTGAATATAAAGAGCCAGCTAAAACAGGTCCAAGAAGGAAGGAAATACACCATGCTTCACACAACAGAGAAATGTCCTCGCTTTCCTTTCATACTTTCAACAGTATTTTGAAAGGAAAATAACACAGGACCAAAAGCGGTTTAGGTATTTTCGGAGGAAAATGCCTTTTGCAAATAAATCAGAAGGAAGGAGCTTGGGAAATACCTGGGAGGGAACAATTCTTTAAAAGAATGGTTAGGTAACTACTAGCTCTTTCTGTCATCTGCTGAAAGCAACTCTGGGAATAAAAAAAATCTTCTCATTTATTGACATTAAATAGGAGTCATAAAAACATGAAATGCACATAAGTTCTCAGAACCGACTGCCCATGAAAGTAAGCTCCTTTTTCTCTGCCTTCTGTGTCCTTTGCACCCCATATCTGCCAGTGTTATAATTTGCAAATGGATGGTCTGGCTCTCCTCGCCCTACTGTTAATGATTTGCTGCAGAAGGAGCAAGGCAGAAAGAGGAGGATTCCGCGAGGTGGAGAGGAGTCTCAGCCAGCTGCCCACAAGCGCCGCCTCCTCCCTTCCCCGGCCAGCAGACACATTTTGGTGGAAATCCCACCGTGCTAGACTAGAGCGAGGCAGACGTAGATCCTGCACATGGAGGCGGCTAGTCCACAAGCCCCAAGCTCCTCGGAAGCACCGGGACTTCTTAGCAATTTCATGAACCTCCTGCTCAGGATCAAGGAAAAACTCTTCACCTGGTGAGTACAAAGAACAGAGGGTGCAGCTGCTCGGCGAGGAGGGACGGAGAAGGCGAAATGCCTTGGGAGGCAAGCTGTTCAGCTACTAGAGAAGCCACCAACGGGGCTCCCCAAAACTATCACCTCACCCGAGCGTAATTTCTGGTTAGGGGAGCAGGGAATGCAAAAGCTTCATCCTCGAGGGACCCGAAACCTATTTTGGGCGGTCCAACCCAAAATGGATGTTGGAAGTCATCAGGCTTCTTGAAGTGTGTGTGTGTGTGTGTGTGTGTGTGTGTGTGTGCGCGCGCGTGTGTGTGTTGGGGGGGACATTTTTGGGAATCCCTCTTCCCACCTCCGTCGCTCTTGTGTCTGTCATTCTCTATCTGTCTTTGTTTGTATTTCTCTCTTGCACACGCACGCACACCTTAAAAAGTGTTCTGATTTGGGAGACATCCACGTGGTTGAAGCTTGTAAGGCTGGTCCCGCCTTGATTTCTCGTTGGGGAGAAAGAATGTAAGTTTTTTGAGAGCAGGGACCAACAAATAATACCGTACTTTTATTTATGATTATCAAACAATTTTGATACACTGAATCTGAAGAAGTCTTGAAGAATCTAGATCCCCTGACCTCTAGTTTAGGTTTCTTTTCACTACGGCAGGCAGCCTCTCAAAAGTGAAATTTACGATAGTAGGCGCTTAATAACTACTTGTGGATGGTTTGCTTACTTGGGGGCGGGGGCTGCCGAGGGAACAGGGAACTTGTGTCGCGCCGAAGGGGTGCTGATAGGCTAAGGAGGTGAGCTTGCAGATGGGACAGATTTCTGCCTTCCGCTTCCATGCTACTAAATTCCTGTTTGCTTCCTTCACTGTTAGGTAGGGAGCCAATTGACGAGTTATGGGAGAAATGTGCCCTTAGCCGTCTGCTGCTCAGCATCCGACTGTTTCTTCAGAATGTGCGCGGGCACCATGGGAAGGGCCCTGGTCCCCTAAGTCAACTGAGGCAAGGACTGGACTCCAGTCTTCTCTGTCTTTTGTGTCTCCTGCACGACTGTGAGCTGCTTCCGTGAATGGTTGACTGGCGGACGGCTGGTTGCCTTCAGAAAGTAGGCGGTGTTTCCGTGGCTTCGGGTATTTGAAAGAGGCACAGAAGGGCAGGGCAAGCAACCGAAGTGACAGTATAGGGTGGGGAACCTGTAGCCTCGAGGCCTCACGTGGCCCTCTAGGTCCTTAAGTGCTACCCTTTGACTGAATCCAAACTTCACAGAACAAATCTCCTTAATAAAAGGATTTGTTCTGTAAAACTTGGACTCAGTCAAAAGGCCCCACCCAAGGACCTAAAAGGCTACACGTGGCCTCGGGGCCGCAGGTTCCCCACCCCTGGATTATTAGCCTAATAAGATACATTTAAAAGAAGAAAAATATGCAAAATTGTTGCTAGCTTTTATAGGTGTGGAGGTCCTGAGTTATTTAGCTCCAGGTTGTCAGATCTTGATTTGGTCAGTGAGGATAGTTGGCATTTCACCGGGAGGATTTCTAAACTCCTGAGCAAAAGAGGCTATTATGCTACTTTTTGAAGACAGACCATGGTTTTGAAATGAAAAAAAAAATTATAAATTTCAAAATGTCTGAGTTTTAGAGTATGGGGTATTACACCCCCACCCCATTTCTGAACAATCACTTCACTTCCTGTGGCCTCAGTTTCCTTATCTGTAAAATGAGGTTGGATTGCGTGGCCTCTGATAGCCCTTCCAACCTAGCAATGTGATCCTAATATCCTGTGGTATAAGGAACAATAGCAACTCAACTGCAATTTATACTTTCAGTTACCTAAGACTACTAAAGAGATTATTTTGACTTGCTTATGGTTGCACCACTAATGTGTGGCAGAGGCAGTACCTGAACCCAGGTTCTCAACCCAAGGCTGAATCCAAGGCTGGCCATATAAGTCATAATATCATTCCATGCTTCCTCTGATCATATTGTTCAGTCATGTCCAACTCTTCATGACCCCGTTGGGGGTTTTCTTGGCAGAGATACGGGAGCGGTTTGCCATTTCCTTCAGCTCATTTTACAGATGAGGAAACTGAGGCTAATAGGGTTAAGTGACTTGCCCAGGGTCACAAAGCTAGTAAATGTCTGAGGCCAGATTTGAACTAAGAAAGATGAGTTTTCCTGACTCTAAAGTGACCATCACTTTATCCTAGACATCCCCTAGACTGCATCACTTAGACACCCCCATCTTATGTATATAATGCTATAAATGAGTCCTCTTTCCCCCATCTGGCAGTGATTTCTTTCTCCCTGGCCTCTCACAGTACTTTGCTCCTACATCTCTTTTAGGGCTTGTCACATACTGCTCTGTATTATAGTAATTTTTATTCCCATCTTATCTTTCCCACTAAATTGTACATTCCTTGAGGGCAAGAATGATTTACCTCAGATTTTCCTGTGGCCCCAGGTCTGGATCTCTCCTTTGCCTCTATCACAGTCTGCTTTGTATTATACTTATTTAGGTATTCTGGTGCTCTTCCTCTCTTCCTTCTCCCCCCCAATATTGTATAATACTTGAAGGTAGGAACTATAATTTTTCATCTTTGTATCTTCCCACTTCACAGAATCTCACTGTCTTTAAGACACATCTCAAGCACTGCCTGCTACAAGATGCTTTCCCTGATCTCTCCACCTGCTTGTGCCTTCTCTCACTTGTTATTAAGTAGGTTTAGTTGTGTCCAACTCTTCGTGATCCCATTTAGGTTTTTCTTGGCAAAGATTCTGGAGTGGTTTCCTTCTCCAGCTCATTTTACAGATGAGCAAACTTAGGGTTAGGTGACTTGTCCAGGGTCACATCGCTAATAAGTGTCTGAAGTCAAATTTGAACTCAGGTCTATCCGACTTCAGGCCCAGAGCTCCATGTCTTCTATTTATTCTGCATGTATTTATTCTGTACGTAGGTAACCAGTGTTGTACAGTCAAAAAATCTCTTGCTCAGAAGTCAGGATATTGGTTCAAATTCTACCTTTAGCTCTTGGTGTCTGTGTGACCTTGGACAAGTCCCTGGGCTTCAGTTTCTTATCTATAAAATAAAGGAGTTGAACTGAAAGGCTTCTGAGAGCCCTTCCAGTTTTAAATTTGTCATTTGGTGTTGTCTTCCCTGATCAAATGTAAACTTGAGATCAGGCATTGCTTCCTATTTTGTCTTTATCTTTTGTTCCCACTTCTTAGCACAGTGTCTGGCGGTAGACACTTTATAAATGCTTATATTTCCTACAGGAAGCCTTTCCTGATCTCCTCAGTTGTTAGTGCCAACTCCTTTTCTCCTCAAAATGTCATGTATATGCATGCATCTTACATCATCACTTACATGTTGAACCCTTGCTTCCACTATAAAATAATTCCTTGAGGGCAGGGACCACTTTTCATGATGTCTTTGCATTCCTAGCAACCTTAGGGCTTTGTCTTTTAAAATTATGATCTAGGCCTGTTTGGGGAATGCCTGGCTCTGTATGGAGAACATCCCTGTGGAAAACTCCTAATTTGGGAAAATTTTTCCACAGATGTTCAGATGTAGAGATCAGTCTGTAACTTATGGTGTTACAGAATTGCCTCGGAGAAACTGAGAGATTAAATGGCTTGCTTTGGTTATATAGCAGAGGTCCTTAATAAAGACCTTTTAGGAATATTTCCTTGCAGACAACTTTAAAATTAAATTTACGCCTCAAATCAAATTTTAGAGTGGTAGAGCCAACAAAAGGGAAGAAGGAGACATTTTTCCAGCCTAGGACAATTTAGGAGGTCACTTGGAGAGATCTGTAACACCCAGGTGGGCACAGGCCCAGAGCTCAGTAGGAGCACCAGCAGGGGACCTTTGGAGTGGCTGTGGTAGCAGCAGCAGCAGCCCAGAGACCGTAAAGGAGTGGGACAACTGATCAAAAAGAGATTACAGGGGACCCTTTGCTGGCACTGATTGGAAACTCTATTGCCCATAAGCAGTTCTGGGTTACAGTTTCATTGTGGAAAGGGGCAGTCACAAGGGAGTGGGAGTCCTGGTCAAAGTTCCAGGGCTAAGAGGAATGTTAGCACTTGGGGCTGCAGGGGAGCAGGGACCCTTCCTAGATAAAGACTGGAATGCAGGCCAGGAGAGCAGTGACCACACCTCTTCCAGGATAATACCACCTTGGGAAGCACCAAAAACTTTCAGAGCCCAGAACTAACTCTGAAAATGGAAGCACAAAAAAAGCCTGAAGCTTGGGACAGTGGCTTTGCACTCTTAGAAAATGTGCAGACAACGACAACAAAAAAGAACTTGATCATAAAAAGCTCCTACGGTGTCAGGAAAGACCAAGGAAAAAAACTCGGAAGACAAAAAGGTAAAAACAGCTACAAGAAACCCTCCCTCAAGAAAACTGCTAATTGGACCCAAGCTCAACAAGAATTGCTGGAGCAGTTAAAGAAAGAGATAAGAGTGGTAGAAGAAAAATTGGGGAAAGAAATGAGAGTGATGCAAGAAATTAGGAAAAGAAAATTAATAGCTTGGTAAAAGAGGCACCAAAAAATACTGAAGAAAATATCACCTTAAAAAACATAATTGGCCTAAGGGTAAAATATGGGGCAGCTAGGTGGTACAGTAGATAGATAGAGTGTTAGGCTGGGAGTCAGGAAGACTTATCTTCCTGAGTTCAAATCTGGTCTCAGACACTCACTAGCTATGTGACCCTGGACAAGTCACTTAATGTGTTTGCTTCAGTTTCCTCACCTGTAAAATGAGCTGGAGAAGGAAATGGCAGACCACTGCAGTGTCTTTGCCAAGAAAACCCCAAATGGGGTCACAAAGAGTTGGACATGATGGAAATGACTGAACAAGAAATGGTAAAAGAGGCACAAAAACTCACTGAAGAAAAGAACTTCTTTAAAAATAGATTTGGCCAAATGGAAAAGGAGGTACAAAAATTCACTAAAGAAAAGAACTCCTTAAAAAGCAGAAATGGCCAAATGGAAAAAGAGGTACAAAAGCTTAACTGA